TGTTATTGTTTGTCTCAAAACCTTCAACTGTTTATATTTGTCTCATAGTTGTCATTGAAATCTAAAAGTCTATGACAGATAAAAAAACACGGATAACAACAAGGAGACTAATCATCACTCATTTTTGCTTTTGTAACGCTTGTTGGCAGCCTGTTCATCAATTCTTTGCTTTCTAGCCCTCTCCAGTGCTACCTCAAGTCCACCTTTTGGCCTCTTCTTTGATTTCCATGGGTCTTGTCGAGCCTTGAATCCCTTCACATTGGCATACTTGTCATTTGTAGCTGAAGCAGCAGCGCTTTGCGAGGGTGATGTACTGGTGGTTCCAACTGTTAAAAAAGCAATATGCAAGATACTAGTGAACATAAGTAGGGATTAAGCAATTAGTGGATTGGATTAAGATGTTTATGGTTTGCATTAGCTCATTAGTGGCTTGGATTAAGCAATTACTGGTGAATATAAAAAGAGATGCTAACAAGATGTGTGAAATTACCAGGTGCTGTTTGCTGAGTTTCTTGAGTCTGAAGGCTTTGGAAAGCAAGTTTAGTGAGCTCTGCAATCTTTTCCTTAACCATTGAGAAGACCTTGTCATTCATTGAGACTTTTGTTGCTAGGATAACCATGCTAGCACACAGTTCTTGATACCTCCCTGCATAAGTATCTGTTGCAGCACATTCTGTTGTGTTTATTGTGAACTTCTCTCCAGATTTGGCATCTCTCGTCCATCGTGGCAGAATGTATTCCTTAGGGATAGTCAATTGCTCAATATCATCACCATTGAATCCAACCATCTCTATCTGCCTGATTATATGTCTGCACAACCAGCCTGAACTTTCAAACAAACGACATGAGCACTTGTATTTCTTCTCCTCTTTGTTCACTAACACGACTCTTTTGTCGAATCCTCCTAGTTTCTTCACTTCATAAGCTGTCATTCCATCTCTATCCATAGATTCATTCCGGAACACAAAAAAAGCAAGGCTTTCTGAATACTCCTCAAGGAAAGAACTGTAGATCTTAGTTGTGTATAATTTCGCGACTTGCTGAACAAGTGGGCTTCTGTCATACCTGTTGGAAGATGACATGCAACATACAATCATTCATAAGCATCTTGTCTACATTAATGATTTTATGGTATGTATTGTACTGTTTGTGGTGCGGATTGTGGGATTTATGGGTTGTTTTACGTTGTGTGTGGTGTGGATTGTGTAGTTCATGGTTTGTATTAGGTGGTCTGTGTTGTGGACTGTAGGGTTTTTGGGTTGGTTTAGGTGGTATCTGGGTTGTTTAAGCTTGTGCGGTGTGCATTGTGGTGTTTATGGTTTGTATTAGGTGGTCTGTGGTGTGGATTGTAGGGTTTTTGGGTTGGTTTAGGTGGTATCTGGGTTGTATTCAACTGTTATGTGGATGCATTCTACAGTATAAAAAGTTCAAATAAAGGAAGTAATACGTACATGGTGTTTGGGACTGTGTTTGCCATTTGATAATCCATGTCCATTTCGTCTGATCTTTTCCGTTCGACAAACTTGTTGAAGTATGTGAAGAACTCAACTAGGTTGTCATCTGATTGAAGGTAGTTTCGGAGGTTGCTGTTACAAGACTCACTCAGCTGTGAGCTTCGCATACCAGCTGTGAAGTGGTCCTTAATCCATGCTGAAGACCACTGTTTCCTCACCTTGTAAATTGAATCCAACCAGTTCCTTGGATTGGTGCCTTCTTCTTGATAATGTGTGTCTAGCAACCTTGACCAATTGTACTCAAATTCTTCCTCATTTTCTACCCCAAAAGTGACATATTGCAGATCTTCTAGAATGTTTGTGTTTGTGGTGTCGAGATGCTTCATTGCATTCTGCTTGATATGAAAAGTACATAAGCCATGGAATGCTTCAGGAATGACGGATCTAATCCCAGCGGCGATTGCAGCAGCTTGGTCGGTGAATATTGATGTTGGTCGGGTGCCTGACATACATTTCAAGAATGCATCGAACAACCACTTGAATGTAGCGGTTGTTTCATCATAAAGGAGAGCAGCCCCGAAGATGCAGAGTGCTCGATGGTGGTTGAAGCCAACAAACAAAGCTGTAATTTAAAAATAAAAAAAAGAACATAGAATTAAACATTGAAACAAACAAAAGACTGTCTTTTATGATATATATGGTGTGTTTCAGGACGTGTTTAGTATGGTTTATAAGGTTTCTGGTTAGGATTCTCAGAATGAATGTTTCATGTTTTTTTGTTGTTTGTTTTAAGAGTGTTTGGGGTGGTTTTATGTTACTTATGGTATGCATTGGGTAATGTTTGGTATGCATTCAACTTCGAAATATCAAGAAAATTAAGCAAGGAATACCTCTTAATGCAAACCACAAACCTTTTAATGCATACCACAAATCTTATAAAACAAACCACAAACCCCACAAAGCAAACCACAACATTTGCGGAAGCAGAGACCATAAACCTCTTAATACAAACCACAAACTTCACAAAGAAAACCAGAAACCTCACAAAGCAAACCACAACATTTGCAAAAGCACACCAGAAACCTCCTCATGCATTGTGTAATGTTTGGTATGCATTCAACTTCGAAATCTCAAGAAAATTAAATAGTGCAAGGAATACTGACCTAGTGGACGATAATTCTGGTTTGTCCTGTATGTTGTGTCGAAGCTGATCGTATCTCCAAAGCAACTGTAGTCAAACCGCATTCTTGCATCAGCCCAGAATATACTTGCAATATCTTCGTTACTATCTACCTCAATTTCATAGAAGAATGATGGATTCCTGTAAGCTTCGTGGCGAAAATATTCAAGAAGTATAGTTGCTTCGCCTGGTTTCATTGATTTCTGCCTTGTCCCTGTGATATAGTTCTTCAGATCATGAGGGGTAAAAGGTACATTCTCCCTCCCCCCTGAAGTTGTGGTGAACAACTCATACGATTTCCGTAGTGAAACTCCACAATCTGCATGCACTTGTGCGACCATTGCATGCATTTCTGAGATCCCCTTGTTGGACCTCAATAGATGTTTGAATTTTGCAGGGAGGAGATCATGGTTGTGTTCTGTTATCCACTTGTCCAGCAGCCATTCATCCTTCTCGATATCATATCTAAATTTGATTATAGCTGGGCAGCCAACTCTAGTTTCTGGTACAGCACGTTGATAAGCCTTGACATCGATTGTTCCTTTATTCTTGGGATTTGACTTGCTTGTGGTCTTGTATCCTTCTTTGCTGCAGCAATACCTAGCATATCGTGCTGTTTTGGTTGGCTGTCTTTTTGTAGAACGTTTGACAGCTCCCATGTCCCTCACGCTGAAGCCAAGATCGTGAGCATAGTTCTTGTAGAATTGTTTTGTTTCCTCAATGGTTTTGAATGCCAACCCCAAACAAGTGTAGTCTAACTCGGTCCTGTTTGATGTCACACCTGTAAGCAATGATGAAAGAAATGAGCACTTGATCATTTCATCTTGCGATAATATTTACAAGAAAAGTGAAATGTGGTTTGCATTGTAGTTATTCATGATGCTTTTATGACATTTATGGTGTGCATTACAGTGTATGATTTTTTTTACAAACAGATTGTGGAATGTAACGATTTACGTTTTAATGGTGTGTATTGCAGGTGTTTTGGTGCGTTTAAGAAGTTTTATGGTTTGGTTTTTAAGTGTTTTGGTTGATTGTCTCTTTTTTTCCTGTGGTTTGTTTTGGGAAACATGTGGTGTGTTTGGCGATGCTTTTGGTATCGTTTGTGGGATTTTTGTGGGCGGTTTGATCATTTCATCTTGCGATGATATTTGCTACAAAAGTGAAAAGTGGTTTGCATTGTAGTTATTCATGATGTTTTTATGAAATTTATGATTTGCATTACAGTGTGATTTTTTTTTTACAAACAGATTGCAAAAAGTTTTTTTGCAAACAGATTTAGGTTTTAATGGTGTGGATTGGAGGTGTTTTGGTGCGTTTAAGAAGTTTTGTGGTTTGGTTTTTAAGTGTTTTGGTTGATTGTCTCTTTTTTTCTTGTGGTTTGTTTTGGGAAGAATGTGGTGTGTTTGGCGATGCTATTGGTATCGTTTGTGGGATTTTTGTGGGCGGTTTGATTGGAAGTGTTTATGATATGGTAAATGGCTTGTATAAGCGTGATTATGGTGCTCATTGTAAGAAAACAGGAAAGGATTGAGTTGAGCGTACCTTCTTCTTGTTCATTGTTGCCACTGTTGGTGGAAATAGAGGTTTCCAGCTGATATCCGCCTTCTGTTGCTTCAGAAGATGTTGCAATTTGCACGAGTTGTTGAGCATCTACAGAACCAACAGAAACTTCATCTACACGATTCTCGTCCATCGTCAATGTCTTAGCTGCGATCAGGAGCTTTCTCCGCCGTCGCCGCCGTTGCGATAGCTGGTGCGATCAGATCTCGTCGCCGCCGTTGCGATCAGATCTCGTCGCCGTCGTTGAGATAGCTGGTGCGATCAGATCTCGTCGCCACCGTTGCGATAGCTGCTGCGATGACGATCTCGTCCCCGTTGCGGTAGCTGCTGCGTCAGGATCTCATCGCCGCGCGTTGCAATAGCTGCTGCGCGGGATTTCGTCTCCGCCGTTGCAGTAGCTGCCGCGATGACGATCTCGTCGCCGTTGTGGTATCTGCTCCGTCAGGATCTCGTCGCCGCGCGTTGCGGTAGCTGCTCCGTCACGATCTCGTCGCCGCCGTTGCAGTAGCTGCTGCGATGAGGATTTCGTCGCCCGTCGTTCAGCCTCGGCGCCGCGCGATTGGAGAGAGAATGGTGAGAAACGAGCTGCACTTTTTCGGACAAAAGGAGCTGCAACTTTTCGGTAGGACAAAAATGCCCTTCCTTTGTTTTTTACCCTAGTCAACGCATGAATTTCAAAAGTATGCAGAATGGTGGGTTCCTATTGGTCCACCTATGTTGTTGTTACAATAACAACAAATATAGTGTTGTTATAATATCCGGTCCCGGATGGAATGGAACCCTCTTTCGGTCCTTCCCTTTCGCCCGGCCACCCCTCTTTTCATTCAGCCACCAATATTCAAGCCCAGATTTCACACCACCTCTCAATCCGCCGCCGCGGCAGGCAGAAGTCAGCTCCCCAATCCCCCTTCATTACAAAATGGCGCAGCAAGCGACCATCCTAATTTCGTCGATTCCCCTTCGATTAACCTCGATTCATCCGGCGCCATTCGCCTCGCCCAAATCCCGGACCTCCTCTATTTCCAGATCCCAATCGAGAACCCTCCGAATTCGAGCCGTGCAAGACGTCGGCGGCGGAGGAGGAGGCCCGCCGCGGAGGCTTGTCGACATCATAAGGCTGGTCCCGGACCTGACCCGGGGCTACTTCCGGAGCCCATCCCGCCGGGCCCTGTTCGGAGGGATATCGCTGCTGGGAGGGTTCTACGTGGCGCAGACGATCTCGCTGTCGTTCGGGGCGCTGGGAGTGAACGACGTCATAGCGGCGGTGGTGTGCGTGGTGCTGACGGAGTACGTGACGCGGTTCTACTACAGTCGGCCCAAGGTAACTTTCCCGCTCGCTCTGCTCAACAATTTCAAGATGGGTTTCACCTACGGGCTCTTCATCGATGCTTTCAAGCTCGCCAGTTGAGATCTGTTTGGTAGAGTGTGCGGATTGTGCCCGCCGACTCGTATGTTTATAGAACTACGACGTTGGTGAATTGGAGGTTGTAAACAGGGGAAGAGATTTGGGGCCAGAATTGGATGATCTGATGAATTTCTTTGTCGAATGCTGTCATATGGAGGTGTGCAGGGGAAAGAAAGAAAGAAAGGGAGTTTAGCGCCATTGCAGGAGGTCTGCTTCCATTTGTAAATGCTGTCTGCATCAAGAGGTCGATGGTGAATTATTGAGATTGATGGATTGGTTACACTATGATGCATGTACCAAATGGATGGATATGAAAAGTATATTGTAGAATCAGATTAATGTTTTCGTGGAAATTTGTGGGACTTATATGTTCAGATCCATAACTATCTATTTTTATGGAAGTTGGCATGGGTAGTTTAGATTAGGTATTTGAATGAGTTATTTCATTATTTGGAATCAAATAGATTGTTTGGTAGCATTTTACTCAAATAAATTATTTGATTTGTGAGTAATTTACAAATAACCCAAAACGAGTTATTTGAAATAACTCTTTCTTTATAATTATTTCTAAATAACTTATTTCGTCTCTTTATTTTATCCAAATACAGTGGTGTTTGGAAAATGTAGAGAGACAAAACGAATTATTTACCAAACGCATGTGGTATTTAGAAAAAGCAAAGAGACAAAACAAATTATTTAGAAATAATTAGAGAACCAAACGACATACTTTAATTCAATTACAATTAAAATAACATCGAAATACAACATGAACAATGAATGAGTAATTTGACTCTACAAATACCATTGATAATCAATTCATCCAAATGATCCTAAGTTCTAAAATACTTGTGTGCGTTCTCGATGATCAAACTGAGTGTAATTCATCCATATGTTACTTGTTAGAAAATTATAACTTGCGAAGAAATTTTGTTGATTTTTTCTTAATCGGGTTTGTCCTAATTGAATATTTTTGTTTTATGAATGAATCTGCTCATTTAGTCGGGATATAGAGTTTTTTTTTACCTTCTTTGTATTGTTCCAATTTTTTCGAATAAAATAGACTCTTTTGGTACCTTCTTAAGTTCTAATTCATTTTTTATATGTTATAATGTACCCTCAAAGCTACTTTGTCAACGAAGGACATAACGGATTGTAGGTTTTTTGTTTTTGCATACACAAGAGGCACAAGCTCAAAGAAACAGAAAGAGCCGAGGGGGGATTAAGAGTGGGTGACAGGGGAGGAAGAGACTATATTTCTAGCAAAGGTGATGCCTCAGAGATCATCTTGGAGAAGCGGGAGAAGCTCATTAGGACGTGTTTTCAATTCATGCATACCATAGGGATAGACGAGACTGTGCTTCGAGAGTTAGTCCGCGACTCTATTCCCTTCCTGATATACATGAACTAGGTTCACAATCCAATCTTGAGCAATCTTTCGTCTGATAGCTGTTTAAAGGGTCGCATAGGGATGAAGAGGATCCGTAATGTTGTTCACAAGCTGAATTGCCAACTAAGAGTCAGTTTCCACTATGAGGGTTCTACATCCGAGCTTCTACGCCATATTCAGTCCATGATAGATAGCCCATAACTCCGACATGGTGGCTGAACAAGATCCCAAGTTGGAGATGAAACCACAAATACATTTCGTTGTCCGCATCATGCAAGGCTCCGCATGCACCTGCTATGCCTTGGCTAACATTCACTGCATCATCAACATTGAGCTTTCGCCAACCTACCGGGGGTGGCTTCCATCCGACCTGAGAAATGGTGCGATGAAGAGCAAGATTCGCACGTCCCATCAGTGGACTTGGTGCATTCCAAGCCCTATACCATAGCTCAGCCTTGATTTTTACCGACTGAGAGAGGGAAGGGGCGAAGAGAGTTTTACCCACACTATAGAATGCTCCTTCGTTTCTGTTTTTCTAGATGCACTACAAAGCAATGCTGAAGAATACGTTCCATGGGATGCCGAAAGGTGAGAGCTCGCCACAAGTCAAATTGGATTCCAGCCAACTGTCCCAAGGTCGCCTAAAGAACTCCTGCTGCGTTTCCTTCTAGGTTGTGCGGTTCCAGAGAAAAGCTGCTAGCGCGCAGTCCCTGAAAAGATGGGGGGAGCTTCTCGGTTTGGGTAGAGCATCTGTAGCAGGTGGCATCATGAGTGATGTGTCGCTTCGCTCTTTCCTCGTTATAGTTTATCTTTTTGTGTTAGGTGGTTAATTTGCGGTTTAACATCAGTCCACCCATAAATAACCAATAAGTTGATGGTGATTGATGTGGGTGGATTACGAATCAATAAATCTACTACCCCACTTATCGGGTGGGTGATGGGTGGGTTGCATGTCAATTGAATGACTTGCACCCCATCTTTACATCGAATTAATTGTTTCTTATTTATGCTAACGAATATTTATTGTATTTCTTAACCGACACTACAAACTGACCATTGACTTCTAAAGACGAAAAATAAAGAATACTTTTGGGCTATTACTATTGGTCACTATGTTGTGTAATGCCTATTAGATTTTGAGATGCAAACCATAAACTATTAATAGTATTTAAGTCCCAAAAACATAAAATTTCTCTACATAATTGGTTGATGAAGTAATGAAAGATTTGATACAAGTACTAGACATCTCCATAGGAGAAAGACATAAATTGGCGGGAGCTATGTAAATTGATTCAATATTACTAATTTTGTGAGAAATGTATTTGGTAAACTTGCCTAATTACTAGTTCAAGAAATGCATTTGCGGTTAACCCACAACTCAACCGCAACCCACCCAACTCAATATAAAGTAGTATGTGGATGGATTGCGAGTCACAATACCAACTCGTAATAAACTAGTAAATTCGTTTAGGCCAAAATCCATCCAATCTACTACACAATGCTCACCCCTATTTTTACTAAGAAATGAGAGAAATAACATATATTTGAGCTTATACACTTGTGTAATTAAGATTCTCTGGGTATATGGAATAATGGGAAATATCTTTTATTGTTGGTATAATTTTATCTAGGGAGGAAAAACAAGAATCATGACCTAAATAATTCCGCTTGTAATTAGTAATTACTAATTAGTCAGGCTGCGTATACAATACGTATTCCACGGTTCTTATAAGGGCTATCCTGTAAATGAGCATCCTCACCGTCGCACGGCCGGTGACGTCGCATAATTGCCTTTCTCTATCTCCGTTGGCTACTTTAGCTTATTTCGCACCTTCCGCAATCGCGCGAGTTGGCCACCGCGTGAGAGACAGAGATCGGAGTTTGCGCCACTGCCCGATATCCCTACGTACTCTGCTCTTCTTCATCTGCTTCGCAAAGCCCCCAGATCAGTTCCAGCATCCAATCAGCGCGGCGGCTCCCCTGAAGCTGTTCTATTTAACTCATTAGGGTTTTCTTTCATGATCGGATTCGTATGCAATAGTCCCGGCTCACTCCAGTTTAGCAGACGGACGAGCTTTCGGCGCCCTAGTTTGTTTCTCCTGCTCCGAAGTTAAAATAATCGGAGATGGATTTGGACGCTCACGGCGGGAATAAAGGCGTCTTCCACCGGCTAAGCGGCGGCGGAGGAGGACCGCGGGGGAACCACAACGACTCCAGCAAGAACCAGAAAGTCTGCTTCCATTGGCGGGCGGGCAAGTGCAACCGCTTCCCCTGCCCATTCCTCCACCGGGAATTGCCGCCACCGAACTCCTCTGCCAGTGCTTCTAACGGCAGCCATCCTGCCAAGCGCGGGTTCTCCAACGATTCCGGGTTTTCGGGCCCTCCCGCTGCCCGAAGAACCCCGAACTTCAATAGTTTGTCGACTTGGGGGCGGGCTGGGAATAACAGAGTGGTCAAGAAGACGGATAAATTGTGTAATTACTGGATACAAGGGAACTGTACTTTTGGGGAGGGCTGCAGGTATTTACATAGTTGGAGTTCAGGCGATAGTTTCTCTTTGTTGACGCAACTTGAAGGAGGCCACCAAAAGGTATTGGCTTTCTGTCTTCTCTTTCCTTATTGAGGGTATTATGCTACCGGCATTGTCGTGCTGATTGCTTCTTGTTATGATGAGCAGGTTGTCAGTGGGATTGCTTTGCCATCTGGGTCTGATAAGCTTTACACGGGGAGCCAAGATGAAACTGTCAGGATTTGGGATTGCCAATCCGGCCAGGTTGCTTCGGTTATATAGTCTTAACTGTATAAATAGTTAGTTTATCCATTACTTGTTCTGTAATCTTCTACTGTTTAAGTTTTCTGATAGTGTACTTGTCGTGTTTTCCCAGTGCATGGGAGTTATCAATCTGGGTGGTGAAGTAGGTTGTATGATCACCGAAGGTCCATGGATTTTTGTCGGTATCCCAAATCTTGTGAAGGTTAGGAAGAATTGAAATTAAGTCGATTCCCAGTATGCCTGATCTTTGCTTTTAGTTTATGCTGTCAGTGAGTTAGTATCTGCATTTTGCTGAATTCGTTCTTTCTATGACCAATGATGGTCCATTTTCAAATTGGTTTCTAAGGGCTTGCATATTTTCAGGCATGGAACTTGCAGACCAACGCTGACCTAAGTCTTAGTGGGCCTGTTGGACAAGTTTATGCTATGGTTGTGGGTAGTGACTTGCTATTTGCTGGCACCCAGGTAATATGTCACTGGATTATAGATCTTTTTGTCTTTATCTATGGCTCAACCTCATAAACTTGTGAATTTGGACATTGGGGATGTTTTTGTTGCATTAGACTTCTGGATGATGCTATTCATCCTCCTCTTTCCTCTAGTCATTCTTTTGCAGTTGTAGAGGATGAAGAACTTATAACTGTAAAACTGTTTATATTAGTGCAGGATTCAGAAATCTTGGCATGGAGATATAATGCAGCCACAAGCATCTTTGAGCCAGCTGCATCACTTAAGGGTCATTCGTTAGCTGTTGTCTCATTAGTTGTTGGAGCTAACAGACTCTTCTCCGGTTCCATGGACAATTCTATAAAGGTGAACACACCCTCATGATCTTATCATACTACCTGTTTCAGCTATATTTTAATTGGAACTTTCATGTTTGCTACATATATTCATCATGCTTTTTTTCTAGGTCTGGAACCTTGAAAATTTGCAGTGCGTACAAACCTTGACAGGGCATACCTCAGTGGTCATGTCTGTTCTTTGCTGGGACCAGTTTCTTTTATCTAGTTCATTAGATAAGACAATAAAGGTATAGTAACAATGGCAAACAAAATGTTTATCATTGCGAATTGCGATCCTTGGTTTATCTGAAATAAGTCATTGAATTAGTCGTTTTCTCTTCCTTTCCAGGTCTGGGCAGCCACAGAAAGAGGGGATCTGGAAGTAACATACACACATCAAGAAGAACATGTAAGTTGTGTTTTTTTCCTCATTAATGAGGTAACAAAGTTGGCGGTGAATGAATTTTTTTTTCTTAGTGCCGTATTTTTTGGTTTTACTAAACACATTAGGAGTGCTTTGGTGTGTCTG